TATTGCCATTGCACTCTTAACAGGTGTTCACAATTTTATCTTTATCTTTTAAAATACAATGCATACACAAATTTTAAGTATAAGTTTACAAGTTAGTTCTAACACATCTCCTTAAGTAGCACATTTATAGCTTCACCCACTGAAGAACAAAGGACAAGTTCAAGCACAAATTATTGTGTTTTTTTTCACTTGAAATTTTGGAATGTGACCTCTCCAAGGTGAAAAAGGCAACCGGAGTCTGATGCTTGACTCTGCGGAAGAGGTTTTTTTGTTGCAAGTAGCCATGAAAGTAGGAAGTTAGAAGGCAGAGCCAGGAGGTCAGACATAAGGGTCAAGAAAGTATGAATGACATCATCATCCCTAAGTACCCTCTCAGAAGATGAATGAGCTCTTTCTTGTATTACAATGTTAAAGAGCATTAGAAGGTGATATGATATCTAGACAACACATAAGATAAATGCCTCAGAGTATGCTAGAACAGCTTCCCCCCCGCGCCCTCCACAAGTACATAAATCCTTTGATAGTCTCAATAATACAGTATGTGGCTGATGAGTATTATATATTGTGGTCAGCTTCTTGACAAAATTCATTTAGATTTAACAAGTACCTTGAACATTATGTAATTTAGTTACTTAAGCCAAATAACTCAGTATAACTCTAGAAACCCTTTAGCTGACTAGACTCACAGCCCTTTTGGGACACAGAGTGGATTTTTTTTCACTAGCTGCTGAATAAAAAGTAAGCAGATGTCAACAGAAGAAATATCCTATCCTTTTTAAAGCTGGCACAAAATGTGTTTGCTGTAATGAAACTTGACACAAAATGTTTTCATCATGATAAAAATTTGAAATGCAAGTTTCATGATCTTAATGAATTTCCTTCTGAAGGGAATGCATGCCACAAACAAAACATGCAAAGTTGCTGTAATGTTGGTTCAAGGTGTGTTCTGTCAGAAGTGGATTCAATCTGAATTTCAGTTGTTGTGTTTCAGAAGCCCAGTCATTCCGGTATGATTTATATAATCTTTCCCATAGTAATTCTGCAATATCCAAAGTTGCAGCAGACTTCATTACCCGGTCCCTTTTTTTGCTTGTGTAAACACCTCTACTTTAAGGAGGAAAATCTAATTGAAATATTTAATTACATTCCTATTTCAAAAATTGAAAAAGAAAAATCCCTCATCAAGAAAACAGCTTCAGGTTGGAATAAAAATGGACTCTGGATATGTGGTGTGCAGCTTCATGAAAGCAGAGTTCTGACGCATGATACTTAATCACTAAAGTAATCTTTCAGTTTTACGATATTTGCTCAGTTGTTATTTTTATAGAAATAAAATGATGCTCATTTGAAATAAAATGCAAGACAATAAGACCCTCATTTTAGTTCTAACTAAATGCTGCAAAGTCCTTTATTCTAAACCAAAACCTGTCAGACTTTTAGCATTAATAGAGCAGTGGATCTTTCTTGACAAATGCTCCCATAAATTAGATATTAGCTTTAGTCAAACTCTGTCTCAGGAAATATTTCTACTTCCATATTCAATTGGAAGGACCTTACATGATGCCCACTTACTGCTATGAAAATGTAGACTTCTGAGATGAAGGGAAAGAAAAATTTGTCTGAACAAAAGAATATCTGGAATAACAGACCTTGAACTTACACAGAGATTTCTTTTTACAGAATGTGAGTTTCACTCACTTTTGGATATGTCTGTCTGCTGCTCTGTCCACCTATCTATCAGTTTATCTATCACTATTGCAGTGGTTACATGCAGTATCAACTGGATTTTAAAAGACATAGATCTTTTATATTAGCTGTCTTTTTTTTATAATACCTTTTACAAATTTAATCAATGCATTTTAATATACAATATAGTTTAAGTGCAATATACAATAAATATTCGAGCTTCATCTTAAACATGCTCTAGCCTTTAAATTGTTAAAACTGCAGTGCCCTTTCAATCTACTTACATAATGTCATAAAATATACATTTCAAGGTAAATGAAGTCAGCTACTTCAATTTAGTCCCTCAAACTGGTAGTAAATGAGAGGTTAACACTATGGTGCCAAACCCATTATTGAGTAAATTTAGCACCTTGGACAGCTCTGTAAAATCTTTATTGCTTTCCTGACCTGCTCGTCATGTTCTGTCTATGTGTTCAGTGGCTCTCAGCTCTGATTGAAAGGCAATATATTAGATCCCGAACACAAACATGCTCGGGGGCTGCTTCACTGTGAGCGTAATGACATGGAGGTGAGAACAATTTTCTGGTCACCGCAATCCAAGCACCTTGCAAGGTCTGTTGCTCTAACTTATAGAGGACTTTTGGGGCTCCTTTGTATGTGAAACTGTAACAGTAGCTTCTATGATAATTTAACCAGAGCTGCAAAGGGTTTAAAATACATTCAGAAAACAAGAAGTTAATATCTTGGGCATGCCTGTAGTAGCATTTTATTGCGTGCTGTTAAAGCTAGTTTGCATCTATAAGAACTACAGTCAGCTCTGGAATAGCAGATACCACTATTTAACACAGGAGTTTTTGTGTAACATCTACTTTGTATGATCTGAAAATGTCATAAATCAGAAATGCTTTTATTGTGTGAAAATATTATTAAAGTATTAAACTCAAATTTACAGACTCTGAAGATGTTGAAACCATTGACTAGCTAGAAAAATTGAATGCTACTTGTCAAGCATATTTCAATAAGCCATCATGACAATTAGTTTTATTTATATGCAATATGATATGGCATCTAAGAACTTCCAATGTTTAAGAACTGGAATACTTTGATATTAGGTAGAGCGGCTGTAAGATTCTATGTAATTACCTCATTTTTTAATATGGTCTTCAATCTCTTTTAGATGGATTCTAAGGTTTTTAGCTCAGCATTACATAAATAACTATGATTAGTTAGGCAGAACAGAAATGACTATTTAAATTTTTTTATTTTTATTTTTATTTTTTAGTAATTTAGCATAATGACAGCCTAGGTTAAAAATACTCCAAAGCAGGTTTTGGTCTCTGTATCACACCTTAATTTTTCATCAGTGAAATATATAGTGCAAACAATTTCTAATGAACTGAAATAAATCCTAGTTTGCAAAGTCAAACACCTGTGCAGTAATTTTCCAGCTAAAATCATGGATTTAAAAAGATAACATTTTTCAGTAACATCTCTGTTGTCTAGTTTGCATCTTCAGTAAGAGGCAAAAAGGGCAACTCAGTGTCTCGGTGATTGTGGTAAAGCAACAGGGATTGATTGTTCCTAGATGTTCTTTGTAGTTTGTCTGTCCCTGATTATGCTTATGCTGCTAACAGTTGTGGTCAAGCTACAGAAAAAAAACCCAAACAAAACAACCACCTGAAACAGGAAGAAAAAAAAGAAAGCCCCCTAAAACCAAACAACAACAACCAAAGAAAAACACACAAAAACCCAACAGAAAAAGTCTGTAGTAACTTAACTCCTCAGAATCTGTTTCAAATGTAGTGATTTAAAAATCCATCAATTATGTATTACATCTCACTTCATATGTGGAAAATAATTTGAATGTGTGTTCTGCGAGAGGGGTGTGTGCAGCGGAAGGCAAGCCTATATGTTTACTGGGAGTACAAAAATCCTCCATCTCATTTTTGAATTTAGGACATTATATATGTCATAAGTAGTTACTGCAGTATGACAACTATTTTATCTTATATTATAGAGAATTTAAAATTGAAAAAATGCTAATATGCATCTAAAAGCTTGTCATTTGAAGAGTTGTTCAAGGATTTTTGAAGAGGTTATGGTGACAGCAAAATGAACGCAATTATATCTCTTATTTTCTGATCAGAGTCTACAGTATATGAAAATTGAGCATTACTGTTTCTTTTTGGTAAAAAATATGGCTATTGTGTAAAATATTTTAAGTTTAAAAGTTTAACTTTGTAGAAAACTGTAAAATCCTTAGAGCTGGTACTATTTTTGTAAGCTACTTGCAGAAATATACCTTGGTGAATAGCATTGTGTTGGTATATTAGAGCAATACTTAGGGGCTGAGAGTTACAAAAATACGTTGTTTTACTCAAAGGACAGTCTCAACTGGGTTTGATCTAGCAATTGGGAATCTGCTAAATGCACTGAAAGAACAGGAAAAAAAATTCTGGGTTAATTCTGCAATGTATCTTTACATTTTCTATCGATCAGGGTTGTTCAAGGAAATTTTTCCACACTGTAAAATGTAAGAACACAGGAAATACTATTAGTGAATGCCAGTTTAAAATACTCTAACAAATATTAAGTGAAAAGGAGCAAATAGGAAAATGGAGAAAAAAAATTGCCCAAAATGGAGAAGTAATCACAGACTGTTTTAAAATCTGCTGTCCAAGCAGAGAATTTTTCTGGGAAACACTACACCATTCTGGGTCATTCTCTCATAGTGCGTATGTTTTCTGCTTGTGTATCATTTTATGTACATGGATCCTACCCTGACCCATCACATCAGGATACAAACCACAGAAGCTGAGAGGTTACATTACCAGTAGCATAAAACTGATTGGATATCTTTTGAATGTGGCCTGCTGGGTAAGGTCACAATTCCTGCAGTATGCAATTAAGAATAAAATAAACACATTGAAGGGATTCATAACGTACTCTGAATGACATTGATTGCAGTAATCTAGTAAATGACCTCAGGATTGTATTCTGCAATAAACCGATGAGTGGTTTATAGTGCAGATGGTAGAGACTATTGAGTGATGTATTTTATTTTGCAGCACCAATGATTCTCACCTTTTGACTTGATTAAGCTTGTGTGTGAATAGGATGAACTAGTGATTTAACACCATGCAGTGGTTGCTGAGAGTTGTTGCAATTAAGGTGTACCTGGTGGTAAGAAGAAATAAACAAACAACACAAAACATGGTGTAACTAATAGAAGAGTATAAAAGATTCTAATATTTGCTTTCCCCCCTAAGCTGTTTATTGAACTCAAAGGAATGAATCTGTTTTTATATTGACAGGAAGTAATACTTAAGAGGGCTGCTGATTTAGTAGAAGCACTCTATGGTATGCCACATAATAACCAGGTAAATGCATTCTACTTCAGTAATTCTAAAACATGGCTATTTCTTAGATGTATAGATAGATCAGGGGCTAAAGGTATATGATACTACAGTATGAGACAAGAATAAATATAGAGGGTAATGCTATACCTGGAGGGGGTTTTAATTTGCTTGTTTTCTTTTTTAAAGTGTATGAATTTTGTGCTTGCAAAAGCAACGTGTTATTAACCCTGGAGGCATTTGCCCACTTTCACCAGATACTGTGTAATATGGGCAATGATATGCATTATGTATCCCACCCGTAATTTTTCACTCTTATGCTAAAGATAGCTCTAAGGTGGAGTCAGTCTGGGCTCCAGCCCCATTCTGCCAGCTGGTCTTGTTATACAGAAGTGTGGCCGCTGGGACTGAAACTTCCAACTCTCTAACCACAGATGTCAGGATTTATCATGAAGGCAGCAGATCTTACAAGCATTAGCTATCAGTCAGCCAACTGGTTTAGAAAGAGAAGCATCTGGGTTTTGCCTTTGGATGCGGAAATGTTTCATTTTAGTATGTAAGAAAACATTTATCAGAGTCACATTTATTCTTTTTTCCCTCCTTCTTATCCTTTAGGAAATAATCCTGAAAAGAGCAGCAGACATCGCAGAAGCACTCTACAGTGTTCCCCGCAATCACAACCAGCTCCCCGCCCTTGCTAACACATCAGTCCATGCAGGAATGATGGGAGTGAATTCCTTTAGTGGTCAACTAGCCGTCAATGTTTCCGAAGCCTCACAAGCCACCAATCAGGGTCAGGAGAAGACTCATCTTCCTCTCTTTAAGAACCTTTTCTGATAAAAGTCAGGGAAATGTGCAGAGCAGTGGAAGAGTGATGGTTCAAAACTGAAGGCTATGAGCACATATAGACAGATATCAACCCACAAGCATGCAAAGTCTTTGAATGACACAATACCTTCATGAGATGCGGGTCTTTTTAATGACTTTTGCCCAGTGTGGGAAAAGCACTTCTGTACATATGTAAATAACTTCTCCTTCTGCTCAGAATAACACTTGTATTTGTGTTCAAATCCCACTAATTTTAAAAGGATTTCTATCTTGAGCATGTACTTAATGTTAAGTATTTGCTTATATATATTCCTCAGTGTGAATCATCCTCAGTCTGGCCCTATGTAGCATTTATTTATAACACAAAGGTGTCCCTTGAATATTTGTCTGTTTGGTTTGGTTTGATTTTGTAAGGATCATAACACAGGCACTGATTTTATTTTTTTTTCTCAGAGTTTAAAACTTTTCTAAATTTTGAAGCTAGTAAAAAAATAGTAACATTTGCAGAGACATTTTCAGAGCTTCTCTGTTTTTTAAATAAAGTGTTTTTCACTTTGTATAAAATCAATGTTGTTTTAATTCCTACAGTTAAAAATAGAAAAGAAACAAGTGAAGGGTATTTTTGTTAAAACCTTTTGCATTTTCCTTCACCTTTTCTCAGCTCTATTTATTATCCAACTTAAAAATCCACTTTGATGAGAAAGTGGTACAAAAAGGTTGTTTTCTAGAAGGGCAGGCAAAATTATTTTGAATTACACAAAATAAAAAAAATATAAATGAGTTTCCACAAACAGCATTTCCAGAAATAGGTTATATATTCAGATCTTAACTTGGTGCCAAATTTTATAGCAATTTTCTACCAACACAATGATCAGAGCAAGGCAAAAAAGACAAAGGATATCCCACTACTTTGAGAAATATACCCTACATTTTCTGAAGTGAGCAGTGAGCATCTAATTTGAGATGCAGTAAATGAGAGTGACATCAGAAGAGAGTTAACAAAAATCACATGCTTTTAAGACACCTGAAGTCCATATGTACTCCTCACTGAAAATGTAGGTCATGTTTACTCCATTTCCTACAAACAGCTCTTTTAGAGTGTTCATATATTATCCAGTGGTAATCTTTGCTTGAGGGCATGGGTTGCCTGAGGAGCTGTGCAGGCTGTAGCCTCCTTCCTCCTGCTTGGTGTGCCAATCAGCAATGACCTAGGCAATGAGGGTTCACTGTCTGGGTTACCTGGTGGTAGTGGTGGTCAGCCTGGCCCTCCCCATGCACACCATGGTTGGACTAGGCTGCTGGCTTGGTAGCCCAGAGTTACTTGCTTGTAGCTGTTTGTGTAAGAAACTGTTCTTGGGCTAATACCAATTTCTAAATGTATTCCCTCCCCACAAAAGGTTTTACTCGCAACTCAAGCAGCGTGTCACCTCATGGCTATGTGCCAAGCACCACCCCTCAGCAAACAAATTATAACTCTGTCACAACAAGCATGAATGGCTATGGGAATGCTGGAATGTCAAATTTAGGCGGTTCTCCAACCTTCCTGAATGGGTCTGCTGCCAATTCTCCCTATGCCAGTGAGTATTGCATGGCTTTTCCGTATTTTGCTCATTTTCATTAGAAGGAGGCTGTGACTTTTCTGTGATACTCAATATTTAGTTTCTATTTTGAGCACCTGAAACAGAGCTTGGTCCTTTCTCTCCTCTCCAAGGCACTGACCTTTGAGGAATTCCAAAGACATTAGCGTTGCCAGCAATGCTTTTCTCTGCTTTTTGTTGTTATTGCTATTAAGGAGGCTCATAGGAACTCAAAAAGAATGTCTCTCATGATTTGGGCTGATAATTTCATAACTTACTTACCTTATACTCTGTAATTAAGAAATGTCCTACACATTGCTAGAAAGCAGGGATGGCCTAAGTGACCTAATGTCTGTTGGAGTGGATCAGTAGTCACATGTCAGTACCCAACTTTTTGTTGTGATGGATATGAAAGGAAGCTAAAGATACTTGCTGCAGGAAAAATAGTTTTTATCCAGCTGTAAGATATGAAGGGCAGAAAAGTTTACTATAATAAGACTGACATTTCCATAAGCTGCATGATGATGTTTCCAAGACCTCTGAGCAAATAATATGTTCATAACCTTTATAGATATTATGAATTACTAGTAGTCCTAATCTTGATTGTTTATACTCCATCTGCTTTGTAAGTAGGTATTACATTGGCTTCGCTGAGAGCTTAGTATTAGTCAGTAAAATGTGACAATGGCTTGTAAGAGTTTGTGTTTTAGTGTCTGTACAGTGAATGCCACAAAGACGTAAGTCACACAAATAGTATATTCCATGGCACAAAGAGCTTATTGTCTACAGTGTCAGTTATGGAAACATTTATGTATAGGACTAACCTTCTGCATTTGGGGATTAAAGGTTTAGTAACCTGTTTAAATATAAATACGTTCCTGTTGGCAAAGGCCTATGAACCTCTTCTGCAGCCTCTCACAGAGCGCATAGTCCCTATTCACATGAGAAAATTAAACGAATAGGACCTGCCCAATTACACTGACGTTACTCATGTGGCATAAAGGATTCCACTGACATCTGCAGAAAGCTGCTAGCAGAATCAGGCCAGAAGGTCTTGTGACATAAATAGGTTTATAGGCTGAGACCCTGCTATGGACAGGACAAGCAGACTGCTGAACATACCAAGGTTTACACAGCATATCTTTATTTTAGCGATGTATTCATGTTAGTGATGTACACAGAAATGAATTATTTTGAATTGCATTACTAGAGTTCAGAATTAAAAAGGGGATAATAACCCTTTTCATTCAAGGCTTTTTAGCTGCTGCAAATTTTGAAGAAAATATTTAACCACATAACTAGTACTTAAAACCTGGGAATTGCTAACCAGTTATTATTTTTGTACTCTAATAATAATGTAACATGCAATGTTACAAAGTACCTTATTTATTAAGTTGGATTTACTGTCATAGAATCTGCGTACTCTGAATTCATAATATAACATGATTGATGGGACATCTCTTTTTGGAAGCAGATGCCAGTAATGCATTTAAAATACTCTAGCAGTGCATTATTCCATATTTATGAACTAAGTCCTCTTCAGAATAGCACTTCGCTTTCCAGCCCTTGTTCTCATATTTTGGGAGGTTTTCTTGGTAGATCTGTCATTCTGCTAATGCCTAATCCATTGAATCAGAAAATGCTTCAATCATGACCTGAAAATTAAAAGGTGGCATTCTTAATTAAATCAATAAACTAATTGCTGTATAGTAGCAATTCAATTTAGGTGCTTTGATTGCTCTCCCTTAGCAAGTACTTCCAGACATAGAGTGACTTCAGACTAAGATTGTATCTGTCAGCCTGTGAAACTTTGAACATTTAATTTCCATTAATTGATTTCCTCAGTGTTAACAAATATGATATCAGATTCTCAAATAAGAACTTAAATAGGGTGATTTTTATCTACATAAATGCAAATAAAACAATAATTCAAAGCTCAGATAATAGGAATTTTACTCTATGATATGTAATTATTCATAGCCCCCTCCCGTATATAAGCAGTTTCTAAACAGGATGAAGAATGAAAGGATGGGATCTTACCTTTGGTCCTTTCCTTTTTTGTTGTTGTTGGATAAGAGGGAAACTGGCAGTATGGTCTGAATATAAAAATATTTGGCTTTATTTTCATGAAAACAAATTCACTTAAAACCTCAGTGGTAAATACCAAAGATATTTATCCAACTACATAGTAAAACAACAGTTTAAGGATATAGGTGTTTAAAGACTGAACCTCCTGTATAGTGGGTTTGCATCTTGGACAATCAGTTCAGCCCCTAGAAAAGAGAGCCTTACATCTACACTTATTTAGAAAAACTGAAGACTCTAATTTTATTCAATCTTGTAGTTAAAGCCAGATCTCTATTTGGCATATAGCACAATGGCTTCATTGCTTAGCTATTCCAGCTGAAATTCCTGTCAATGGCTCTGACTAAAAAGGTTGTATTGACTGTATTCAGACAGTGGTCACAGATCCTCTGGGAGAATTATTTGTCTTGAGCATTGTAAAACAGACTTTCATTTTCAAAAATCTCCATCTTGGGTGAGATTATGAAATGCCAACTCCATTCCTATGCATAAATACAGTGGTCACAAGAGGCATATGGCAGTTTTCCATGGCACTGAGAATTCTTGTGAAGTGCCCACAGCAGAAACTTTCCCAAAGCTGATGGATACAGGGAAGCTGGAGACTGGCTTGTTTAGTTAAAACACAGAAAGAATCTGTAGCCATTGTGAGGGAAGTTTAGTGGTTTCTCCTATTGGGAGATAAAAGAAAAGCATGGTTGCTGCCAGTTATCCACACTTGTTGTGCAACAGACACAACCAACGGAGAAAAAAAAACCCTGTCAGAGCAGCAGTCTCACTGGTTGCTGCATGCTCTACAGCCTCCATGTGTGTATATATATGTGTGTGCGTATGCTTTTGGAATAACTCCTTTTAAACCCTAGTTCTTGCAGGGTTTGAAGAGAAAGAAACCCAACTATTTTTGCTGACTTTTTATAAGCAGGTCAACTAGGTCACTGCTAAGACCTCTACCTTCTGCAAGTTTGCTTGAAATCCCATAGGTCTTTCTGGAATAATCTTGCTACAGGGAAAGCACAGCTTAAAATGCCAGTTTTTGAAGATAGTTAAAAACTTCAGTCTTCCTAATGTAAAAATTCCAGATCCAGATTTGTACTTTAACTCTTCTTGCCCATCAGTTTTGTAACCCCTGAGTTACCCTCACAGTCTTGTGGGTAATTATCCATCTACAAAAAAAATGCCAGCCAGTAGAAAAGTTTGAAACAGGATGGCAGGACAGGGTTGTAATAAAATAAAGAGTTGCAGAAACAGAGAATTAATGGATTGTTTAAGAGCTTCCAGAATTACTGCTCCTGAACACCTGTAAAATAGAACAAAACAAATAAAAATGAAACAAGTGGTTTCCTTTAGTGATTCATCACACTTTGTGGACAACCAGAAATCTAACTGCAGTAAAGGCCTTGGCCTTGGCCTTAAAATTAGACCCCATGCAATCAACCAGAATTGTCTGGTTTCTGCAGCCTGCTGATTATCTAATACTAAGGAATGCATTTTGGGGTGTCTTTTTTTTCCTCTAGTTGTGCCATCAAGTCCGACAATGGCCTCCTCCACTAGCCTCCCCTCAAACTGTAGCAGTTCCTCTGGGATTTTCTCCTTCTCACCAGCCAACATGGTTTCAGCAGTGAAACAGAAGAGTGCTTTTGCGCCTGTTGTGAGACCGCAAACTTCTCCTCCTCCCACCTGCACCAGCACCAATGGCAATAGCCTGCAAGGTAGGTGAAACCAAGTCTGCAGCATAGATGGCTGCTTTCAAAACCATGAGTTCCTGGTAGCTTGCAAGGCTCTAAGCAACACTGAGTTGTCAAAGGGGATTGAAGACAATGGGGGATCCCTGGTGGTCTCTGTACTAAAGTTTTCTCCTGTAAAGCATAACTGGACTCCACCACCAGCCCACCTATTATCATGCAGATATTTGGCAACCACCCTATCTCTAACTCTACTAATACTGCTGAATTGAGAGGTTGTGTCTTTTAAAGCACAGACCTACTGTTATGATAAAAACGAGTAATATTTCAGCTTACTAATACCATCCTTTTTCTTTCTTTCCTCTCTTATTCCTTGTTGTCGTCTTTTATCAGACCAGTCTTTTGTGGACTCTAGCAAGTACTCCACTGCAGGGTCTCTCCAGGGGCTGGCCTTCTCCTGAAGTACGTCACTCAATCTTCCCTTCCTTTTTTTCCTTTGTCATAGTACACTTGTGCAGAAATCCTACTGGGAGCAAATAGACTGTTACAGAGCTTGGCGCAAACCTTTGCCTTTCAGAAATAAACGACACATTACAAACTAACAGCAGCATTTCTCAGTTTAACTCATACCAGGGCAAACATTAGGTTCCACTGATTAATATGCTTTTGTGACAATTAATTCCATAAATGGCACAGGACCTTTTTAAAAGCCTGTTCAACTGTTGGGATCAAGGGGCTTTCCTTTTCTGCATTCCAACCCCTTTTATTGAAAAGTATTCCAGCATTAACTCCTAAATATGTTTTGAAGCATTTCTGCAAGCTGAGGGAGTAACAGACAAAGGCTTGTCAAACCAAGGATGCTACAAAGACCTGCAGTGCCCATTCCATTGTTTGTTTCAGGCTGTTTTACAACACTGTGCCTAAACCTATCTGTGTGATTACCTCACTACACATTAGTGTGCTGAAAGAGACATTTTCATGCTCACTTAGACTGAGGAGTTTCTATAAGCAGATGCAGCCAGCTGCCTCCAACTGTGCCAGAGGTGGGAAAGGTTTTGCGATATGGTTTGTGCTTCCTCCAGACCTGAGGTCTGTTTTCCTTTCCACGTGCCTGTGCAAATTATCTGAAGAGCATCGAGCGCAGAATAAAATCCATCATTTTTAAAGCCATGTTCAGAAGGAGCTGTGCAGAGCAGGGGGAGGATACTTCCACAGATTCCACGTGTCACTCTATGGCCTCTGTAAAGAAACGCTGGGCTTGCGGACATAATGCTGCCAGCACTATTAACAACCAAAAAAATCTATATGCAAGCTGAGCGAAAGGAATTCATTCATAAAAGCTGGGATCTATTGTGACTGAAGGAAAGCATTGTTCTCAGTGCATTTTACATTGGTGAATTGGAAGGAGGAATCCTTGAGATATGCACAGAAGAACATAGAAATTGTGAAAATAGTAGGGAGATATAAGCAGAACCTGGGTACTTTTGTTCAGGAATTGTTATACATACAGGTTACATCAGGAATATAACACCACAAAATTTTCAGATGATCTGTAGTGTTTAGATTAATTAATGTGCATTTTAAAAATTTGTCACTGCTGAAGTGCTACAAATTTTAAAGCTAAAAATGTTTCACCTTCAAATTCAAAAAATATAAAAGAAGCCAAGAGTTCAGTGCTAGAAGCTTCTGAACATGTTAATGTGTTTTTTTTGTCTCTTCACCTAGCCCAGTTTGCTATTGCAAGAGAAGAGAAAAAGAGAGTAACAGGAGAAAGCTTTTTCAGGCACTGTTTTTTCTTTTACAAGCCATGGAATCCTCAGATTCCACATACTCAGTTATGAAAAGCAATTATGGTACGAGCTACAGCATCGGACACAACTGAGGCTTGCTGATAGCCTCCTCATTATGTCACATCCACATCTGTAATGCCCAGAAACCACACAGATCTCAGTGTTTCCCCTAATTTTTTTTTTTTAGCAATTCAGTTTTCATAATAGGAATGAGACACCAAGAGATGGTTCATTTCTAGGTCATCATTGAACTTCTTGGTGAGTAAAAACCACACAGCCTTTAGTCCCACGCCTTCTGACACCACCTGAGGCTTGTAATAATCACTCAGAAATGCACTGCCTGTTGTGCCTTATTGCTTAAATAAACAACCATGTATAAGGAGGCTGTCTTATCTCTCTTGGGCTTCTGGATACATCAGAAAGCAATCAGGCTTTCTTTATGTAGCTTAGATATCAGCAGAACTCACTAAAACAACAGCTAGGCTTATCTGTTGTTCTCTTTGCCATGCAATTTTGTAAAACTCAAAATACATTATTTCTGTAATTTGCTAGCAGCAAATATAAATTAGTATATAATAGAAGAAATAGTGCCCATTGGTGGGAGTTTTACTACTCTCTGTCCTCCCTTTTTGAAGATAGTGTGATCTCATACCTCCACTGTTTCCCACTGATATCTCTGTTTTCAGGATCGATAACATGTTACAGCTGAGAGAACTTGCATGCCTAGATATAGCACTTAAGCAACAAAAGTAGCTTGATATAAATGAAGACTTGGAAAGGATGGAAATATCAAAGCTTTTAGGCAGAAAAGATATCATTTGGTTTGTAATTTAATTCAGAATTTCAGAGCTCTTCAAAAACAATAATGCTTTGAAAAAATGAGCTAAGATCTGCATCTGTACCACTTGTTTCCAATGGCAAAAGATGTGTGGCTGATATGTAACTGCAGGGAAATGTCTAAGCCACAAAGGGAGGAGTTGCAATTATGTCACCTTTGTTTGGGATTTTATCCAGAGTAGACAGCTGTGCTGTCCCAAGAGATAATTCTTGACCACTTTTTGGTGAAAATGGTTTTTCTAATGAATCTTTTAGCTTGAGAATTTTTTGTTGGAATAATATTTTGGCATTTTTCTGAAGTGTATTTTTTTCTAAAGCAAAACACCTTGTTTGAAAATTTCACTACATTTAGAATTTAAAAAGGGCAGAAAAGAACAAAATATTGGTAGTATGCACAGAAGATTAATTATCTGTTTGACTCTGCCCAGTTGCACTCATCACCTATATGAAGACTCTACCCATTCCCATCTGCTCAACTCCTTGCTTATCTGGACAGTAAAGGAGGGAACACTGTCATTTGATAATATTGCTTTTCTCTGTGCTGTAACTTATGTCCAAGCACTGAAGTCCCACCCCTGTATTCTACTGTCATCCAGAAATCTCCAAGTGCTGTAGTAATATGGATAAAATTTATTATTCTTGGTTAAGAAACAGAAACAAATCAAATTACTTGATGAGCTAGAAGAACTGGGACAAAACCCGTGTCTCAGGTCTATGGCCACGTGAGACTTTCCTATGTTCAGATAGGGAAAATTGGTCCACCCTTAGCTGCAAGTGACTGAATTAGAATTAGGGCAGAATTAGTTTGGTTGACTGTATCCATCGCTGTCAATACTTATTTTATTGACTCCGTAGAGGTCTGTGGTTGAGACCCACATGGCCCACATGTAAGAGTGACCCCTTCAAGAGCAAAATAGGGAGCAACCACAACAGTGAGAGCATGGGTTTGTTTCATTTTCAGTTGCATGTTCCAAGAAGGCAGCTTCATTGTGAGGATTTGGAACTTGTTATTTAAGAACTGCTGAAATAAAATCCTTTGAGATTTCTTTTAAACAAAACTGAAGTTGTTTCACCCAGCATAGATTAAATAGGTGAAGATTCCAAAAAAAAAAAAATTCATTCTCATTCTCAGCTCCTTGAAGAGCTCTTATGTGGAGGGGAAACAATCAGTACAGTGATCTCGCATAAAACCATTGCTGAATGATAAATGCTGAGAACTGAAATGCTGCTGTATAGTTGCAACATGTCACCTTTGAGGATGGCCTGTTGCAAACATGTGGATGTGTTTTGCATTCTCACTTTCCCCTCTCATTTTATTTCATTTAATCAGTGCAGTTTACTCGAGCTGTTCTCCCCTTGCTGATTAGACTTGTAATTCTTGCACATATGGTGGTGTTTGTGGAGAAAACATTTCCCTCCTCTCCCCCTCCAACCCCAAATCTGTGAGTCTTTTACTTTGGCTCTGTTCTTATCAAATAATTGCAGCTGTAATTAAAGCACAATGAATCAGCACCAGTCACAGGGTTGAGTTCTTCCTTAAGAAATTACATGTCCAGATGTCTAAGATGGCAGGCAGTTCTAGCATTTAAATCATGTGCCCATGAAGTGCCGCCAACCTGAAAGCAAATCTGTTTTCTACCTTTTGGCAAATAACCGTACAAGTGGCATTTTAAAGATGCATTGTTGTTACAGTTTTCATCATAAACTTGCATGACTACCCCCTGTGTAGGTGATGTGATTGCTCACAGTATATCACTTGTAATGTCTGATCTGCGTAGAGTTTCTGGTAAATAGAGGGAGACCAAGCCAGAGGTCAAGCTACATGGGAAACTGTAATTGTTGACTTTTAATGAATGTCTTGTCTTTAAGAGACGTGTGATGGTTTCATACAAAATGAGGTTAGGAAGCATAATAAAGAAATACTGATGATTCAACTTAACATAGCCAACAAAGGAGAAGACAGTCTAAATCAACATTAACATACGACTCATTCAATGTCGTTGGTGATGTCTGCTACAAATATAATAAAACCATGAGACACCAGTCTGTTAAACTAGCAGTTAAGGACATATTTCAATTTGAATATTGAATTTGAGAGTGTAAGTCCTTTTCTGAGCTACTGGAAATACATACATCAGTTCCAGGGCTGAACACTGATTTTGTAAGAGAAAACAGGCATAGGAGAATGGAGCACTGTTAGTGTGCCTAATGCAAGGAGCACCTTAGCAGGTCTGTAATATTAGTGGCCTATAGTACTCCAGCCATTTTCTCATATATGGAACAAATATCTGCTTTGCCTTTAAAAGAGTAATAGAATGTGTGGCAATGGCTGGGTCAGGTTTAAGCCTCCTGAGCATTTTGAGATTTTGAAACTAAAATCAGAAAATTAATTTGGGGTCTGATTCTCATATGAGGGGAAGTATACTTTTTCTTCAAGAAAAATCACTAATTTCAGTAGAGTCACTTGCAACTTAAACTGTTTTCTGATCAGAATGAGGCTTCCTGTGATTACTGTGTATATAGTTGTCTCTACTCGATGAAACTTATAATTTAATTCACAGTACAGCTGAGTATGTTACTAGTAAATGTTAAAAATTCTCTGAAGACATTGGAAGTTGCTTGATAATACACAAAAGTGACTTTTTCCCCATCTTTCTCTCCCCTCTCCCTCCTCCCCTTTCCTTCTGACAGCTATATCTGGCATGATTGTTCCCCCCATGTGAAAGAATTGCCTTGAAGAATTTTATTAATGAAGAGGTTGAATTCTGCTTCAGAGAGAATCTGTTACAAGTCCCAGAGTGGAACTTTTTACTCAGGCCTTTTTAAAATAAAAGAGAAAAAAAAAGAAATAAAGAAGGATCTTACAATAACTGCAGATTTTTAAACAAAACAAAAATCACCATCCTTGCAAATACTGAAATTAACAATCTCCAATTGCAAGGTGTTGATTCAAGTTGTCCATCCCAAATACCTGGGAGATATATTTATTGTATGTTGATAAAAAATCCACTTTTTTTTTTTTTTGGGGGGGGGTGTTGGTTTTATTTTCTTTTGATTTTTGTGTTTTTTTAAGGCTTGATTTAACTCAACACCATTTGTCTTTTATAAATCATACAATTACACACGGGACACTAGAGATGGAACTCCACATTTTTAATTTATGATTTATTTCTTTTTTAAAGCTGTGTAAAGAAAAATGAATTGGTGTCATTTACATACAAGTCTGTATGGGACAGAATAGAAGTGCCAGTTAGTTTTTCGTAGAAGAATTATGGCCATTTAATTAAGGGTCGGCTCATATAGGTTGCTTATCCAGTGGTGACTTGCTAATAGGATGCATTTTTAATGTTCTAATTAAATAGATATCACTCCTTAGAAAGATGGTTTTTTTTGGATGCTGAAGGCAGGATTGAGGGGTGGGAATAACAACCTCTGTCTTTAATATCACACTAAATAATTGTGTAAATAACGCCACAAAAGAACTGGGTTAAAAGGAAAGTAGGGATGAAAATATCAACCATATTTCCTCTTGAACTGAAAATTCAGTGCCTCTAGATAGAATACTAAAACTGCAGGATTAGATGGGCATGGCTCTCTCTTTAGCTTATGTATCAGACTCCTTGCAAATGAGTGGCCTTCTCGAAGTTTAATGTTACCTGAGCTGCATAAAATGCCATTTGGATTTTGCATAGCTGTCTAACGATGACACAGACTGTGGCCATCCATGACATGTGGGGTGTTTTCAGCACAGCTCCACTCCCCTTGACCTGTTTGTTGTTAACGGACAGAATGAGACCAGACACGTCTGCATCCTCACGATCTGAAAGCACATGTTTTCATCAGCCTCCCACTAGGATTGTTCCTGTATCAGTCGACCCTCTCAGTTTGTATCATAATATATTAAGCAACAGGTAACTGCTTTTGAATAATAAACGGAAACACGAGTTTGGGGGTGGGGGTAGGGCTGTTTGTTAGGAAGGTTTCAAATCAAACCCATAGCTTCTGTTTTACAAAAATTTTGCTATCATTGTCTGGGAAGTGTTCTTAAAAACTATTAGTCAAAGAGGCAGCAAAGCTCCGAAGATGCATTACCTGATATTTTTTCTTTGCTGTTGTGTTTTGTATGTAGTTATAAATACTGTAGATTTTTTGTGATTTTTTGCCAAAGTTGTTGTTCTATTTATACATTTTAATGTCTTAAGACAGTTTTTCAATATCACAAAAAAAGAATTTTACTGCATATTTTGCAAAAAGAGCTCACTACCTTTAGCTTGCACATACTTGCAAAATTAATTAAAGAAAAAAAGCGCTTTTTTGTTTCTGTTTTTTGTTTGTTTGTTTTACAGGGGATTTTGTAAAATATCCATATAAATAATGTATTTATCTTTGGAATTTGTACATTGCTTTTTTTCCCCTGCCAAGTTTATTTTATTGTGTATGTTTGCTATGTGAAAAGTGCTGATTTGTTTGGTCATTCACCGTTGTATTAGCTGTTTAAATGTGATTTTAAAACATTTCATTTATAGGTGGTTTTTTTTAGTATTGTTTAAAACCATGCTTCCATTTTTTTAATTTCCACCCAAAAGCCATTGTCTATTTTTGTATTATTTGTAAGTTAAGAAGTTTTTTCCAATATATGGCAAAAAGTAGCATATTATTCTTGTAGCATTTAGTTATGTAGATTTTAAAAGAAATGTATCCTTTGCTTTTGAGGCTTAACAGAAACTAATGCTGTTTTACTCTATTAATATGCATGGGATTTCTCCTCTTTGGAGTGACGCATTTTTGTGCATTAAATATGGGGAGAAACTTCATAGAACTCAATGAAAATACTTTCTTTCTTAAGTCTGCTTGTATATTTCTCTGTCTTTCACATAAATATAAACCAGCAGATTGGATGCCTTAACAATGCAAATCATATTCATTTCACTTGTACATTGTACTGTGCACCAGAACTGTCAATCATCACTAACATTCTAAGAAAAAAAAAAAGGAATTGAAAAGCACAAAAGAACTGTTTTGTTACCTTAAAACAATATAACTTTTTTCTAGTCGAGCAAGAAATCATTTACAACGATGCTGCAACTGTGCATGCTTCCTGTATGAATTTTGCAATGGTTTTCACTAGAATGTCACAGTGTGATCTTTGGGGGGAAAGGAAGAAAAAAGGATTTTTAATTTTTTTTTTCCATGGTGAGAAAATAAGAGAAAACTGGAAAATGTGAGAGACATCAATTTATTGCTTCTCTGTATTCCAAGCGATTATTCTAATTCACATAGTAAACAACAGCACGACAATGTAGTCAAATTTAAAGCCATATTTTGTCCAGTGACACCATCAATTACTCTTGTAGAGCTCCACTCAAAGTCATAGCGATTTTGACACCAGTGTTAGCCATTGTTGTTTGTAGTCTACACCAGTGTCCAAAGACCCTTGACAATGTGCATCATTTGTTTTGTTGCAGCTATTTATAGTAATCTGATGAATGGGAATTTACAAAAAATCTCCCCCGCACCACCCTTATCTTTTACAAAGTAAAAGATGCAGCTGTTTACAGAATATGGCTTTAAGTGGAAACATTCAGATTTCAGTTTTAACAAGGTGAAGCTTCACAATGACTGGATTGCATAAAGTATGCCTATTTCCTCACAGTTGTACTAGGATGCAGCTAAAAAGAAGTCATCTCTGAAACTACTAACCTTTCACCTTCTTATCTAAATCTTTTTGAATAGACACACACACTGTACAGTTCTATTGTTAGAGAAACTAACTACTGTAGAGATTGTTATAATTTTTTTGCAGAAATTCAAGCTGTAAAAACTTTTCAACTTTCACAATATTTAATTAAAGTTACTTCCTGTCTGTGAATACAGCTCCTGGTTGTGTTGTTATTTTCCTGTTTCTGCTGGCTAGTAAGTGAGGAAAAATAAAATATAGAAGCCACAGGCTACTGAGTTGTCTTTCTGAAACTAAGGAGAAGCAGAAATTCAGGGAATTACACAGTGAAACATGGCGCATGCTGGTGCGCTGAAACTCCTCCGCCTCCATCACTAATGGATTTCAAAAGATCCTCACTCATAATCCTAAATGTTTATCCTGTTACTATTTTTATTTCTGTTAGTTTAGTCTGTTGACTGCCTAAAGGAAAAACCTATTTTTCCAGTGGATTTCAGGAGCATATCTAACTTTAGGTTCCCAGTTGCAAACACAGTGATCATGGTATGCAAGGCAAAGGCATAGTAGTCCCAGTGCGGGGGGCCAAGGGAGACCTGAGTTTTCATCTTAGTAGTATTTAAGTCAATGGCAACACTTCCAGGACCAGGTCTTAAGTGACCTGCTCGAGGTGAGCTCCAAGAACTGCAGCAAAGTATGTTGAGCTGTAACTAGCTTCTTGACCATGAAGGAGGCTCCTATAAAGTGTTTCCATTCTGCTGCCCTTCCTAAATAAGTAACAAATCCACCGGCTGCTAAATTGGTTCTAGGTGTTTCATTTCATTCCGTGCTGCTCTGGCAGGAGAGGACAATAAGGAACTTTACCTCTAGTAAATGGAACGTTGACAAAATGGCACTTAACTGGGCCTGAACAGTGGCTATTATACAGAAGACCTGTGTGGGAACAATGAAAAAGCTTTAATCACGACACCTAATGCAAGGCTCCAAGCATTTCCAGGTTAGTTAGGAATAGAGACATTGGGGTTGCAGTTCAAATTAAATTAAAATTTACTTTAAATTTGTTGAAAATACAAGCAGCTGGAAGTGCCTTCTTGCAATATAAAGTGTTGGGTATCTCTTAAATGCTTTCAGATCCACTCCAGTAGTTGTTAAAGAGAGCTGCTGGCAAAGTCTGATGTACAATGCGTCTACTCTGTCAGCACAAGAGATCTGTTTCTTCTGTCTGAGATAATTCTCCTGGTTCTCTTTCAAATGGTGTGAATATTGGCAGCTCTGACTGCAGCTGAGAGCTTTATGAGTGCTCAGCTCACTAGAAAAAACGTGGGATCACATTAGCTGAAAAGCAGTCTTAAAGATTAAGTTCAGGATGTAATATTAGACAACCTGTTCTAGATGCAGCAGAACCAGAGCTCTGCTTCAGCCTTTTGGATACAATGAGAATACTTCTGTCTGAAATTTAATTTCAGCTGCATTAAAAAACAAATGGGTGGCGGTGAGGGAGGTGACAGCATGAACCATAGGGCTTCAGACAGACGCTGAAGAAGAGAATGGTAGTCAGTCCCAGTGATGTTCATTTGATGATCCAGAGATACCTGGGTGACAGTGCTGTGTAGATGAAGAATTGCTTTTTTAACACCAGAAGAAAACCCTTCAAAGCCCAAACCATGTGAGGAGCAGTTGGAGGGCACACATTCAGGTATGGCTGCAGTAAGACATGTATCTCATGACGGATCATAGACTGAAAGGGAGAGGAGTGTCTTCTCTCATTGCACAGAGAATATGTAGGCTTCGGAGCTGAGGGTAAGGTGTATAACAGCATGACTTACTGCTCTCTAAATTGGTAGCTTTAATTCTTCAGCAACTGTAATAGTCATTTTGACTGAATAGTTTTCATTTATTTCAGAGAAATCTCAGCAAAATGAGCTACCTTCACTGTTAGTTTCCTGGCCTGTCTGTGTGTCTGCTTATTCCCTTTACAGCCTGTCTCTAGAGGCTCTTGCCACAGCTGCTTCATCTAGTCATTTGCATAACTCTGCTTGGCACCACAGTCCATGTATCTTCTGCCATTTGCAAAGTTAGTTAGCTGAAGACACTTTTCATGGCATACACATGATTTCCTCAGTTCCTTCCTGTTTACGATCCCTTGTTCTCCAGTCCTCTTGTAAATATTCACATTGTAATGCTGTACCAAAGATGGGTTGGAGGCATCCCAGATAGTCCCTGGCTGCAACTCAGCTCCAGACTCCTCTAGTTTCATGGACGAAAGTTTTTGGAAGCACTTTAGCAAATGCCACATTGTCTAAGCTTTCTCAAAAATGCATCCACTGCATCTTAGTTTATTTGCCCTCGTTACCT